GAGCTAAGGGACAGCACCCCAGCCCAGAGTTCAAGCCCCACAACAAATGTAAATAAATAAATAAGTTGGGAGGATTATTGGTAAAGTCTGGGAAATGATAGGTCTGGAGATTGAGTAGTATGAATTCACCAGCATACATTCCAAGGTGAGAGTTGGGTTGGAAGTCCACATATTCCAGTCTGGTCCAGGGACCAGGGTGCTGGGTAAGGAATGAAGATAGGAGCAGTGAGAGCTGCTGAAAAAGAAGACTCTAGGCCACAGTGACTGAAAGACTGTGAGGAGAGCACACAGCATAAAAGTAATGCCAGTGTCAACCACGAGTCATGAGGAGTGCCTATTTTATCCAAAATGACAGTGTCTATGAGATAACAGGCAACATATATTTACTCCCCTGAGTAAAAAGGAAATTATTCCAGAACATTTTCTCATGTAGGGCAACAGTACCAAGCCTTCATCAACCTTCTTTACCCTCCCTTGTACTTTAAATACTTCACGACACAGTATTCACCAAATTCAGTCACACCCAATCTGACAAGTAGACCTGAGACCACTAACCCTAAAACCAGCTGGTCCTAATATTGTCTGAAGTGAAGGTCCTATGGAAAATAATAACATCTCCCAGGAAATATAGTTATGAAAATAGGTGTTTAGCTTTTAAATGAAATGTATCATCTTATTCTTATGGAAAACCTTCCTTTGGTGAAAATTAAAAGTGTTTCACTAGGATGATCTCATTCTCACAGTAATTTTGCAAAAAAAAAAGGGGGGGTGGAATGCAGGATATATTTGAATTCCTATTGTATAAAAGAAAAGATTTTTAAGATGGAGATCAAGTGACTTCTGTACAAGTCTCTCCCCCAAAGTAGGCCAGCAAGTTGGAGCTAGAGCCAGTTTTCCTAATGACATTCCTTTCTGTGCTCTTAAACCCAATCTGTCCCAGTACTTGGCTTAGCACTGTAGGATGACATATACCAGGTGGCTTATAGTTTCCTTTCACAACATGTAAATGACATTCATCCAGCAGCAAAGTCTATAAATATCCTGGCCAATCAGTTCTATCAGAACAAGTAAATGCTTGCTTACATCTCCATCTACACTTTTGTAACATCACACATTATCCAGGCCTCTGTGTGTTTTTAATGTGGGGCCATTGAATGCCGTCAAGTTGTTAGATAGTTGTATCCTAGGACAACTGACCACTCATCCTTTTTTGAATTCAGAAAGTTGTGTCATTCCATAAAGATGTTGTTGTAACCTACTTTCTCACTTGTTGGCTTGATGACTTGAAAAATTGTTTTGAGGTGAAAATACTCATAAATTTTAAATAGTCGTCTTACTAAGACCCACAAATAGTTTCCATGCTGTGTCTAAATAGCAAGATGACATTAAAAGGCAAAAACATAGATAACATTAATCACTATAACTCAAGTAATGACTCCTTAGACTCGGCAGGAAATCTTAAGAGTTTTGAACGCTCCCATTTTCTTTTTTCTATGAAATGCTAGCAGGGCAGAGGGCAGGAAAACAGCATGAGATTGTCCACAATGATTAAAGGTAGGGAGAATCTTAGAGGACTTTCAACTCTCAACTTGTCCATTCAAAGCCTGTCATTTCAACAATCATACTGAAGTCATCTCTGATAATGATTGCAGTGGGAATATTTTGATGGGACTGTCTTGATCAAAATAACAACTAACAAAATAGCTATTATCCCATATAAAGCAATTTATACCTTGCAAAGCTTTTTGCCTACGTTTTTTCACTAGTCCTTTCCCAGGAAAAAATATTGACCTTCATTACTTCAGTGGGGTCTCAGTCACAGAGTATTTAAGCTAGTTTTTGGAAAGCACACAGCTAGTAAGAGATAGAGTGTGTTCAGTCTTTTGACTGCCCATGAGGCCACTTATATACCAGCCATCCTCCCAAGCCTACAGAGAACATTGGCTCAACAATAAAGGTGAGCACCAATGTGTTGGAACAAAAGAAAACAAAGTGGACTCACTTTACAGGAAGGTAGTTCCCAAGTGAAACAGGAATGTTCAGGAAGTAAAAGAAAAGATATTTTCCCCTCCTGAGAAATCTAGGTGATACAAAAGAAAACAATTGATCATATCGATTACATTTGCAAAATTAAGTCTGGAAATATCAAGTATCATGTCAAATGAGAGCAATGAGAAGTCTTACACATTACCCATGAGTGTATAATTCATTATGATCTTTTTGCCCATCCATGCAAGTTGAAAACTGCACACACAGCCAATGGTCAGAAATTCCATGCCAAGATATATAACTCAGAAATAATCTCCCATATGTGAACAGGAGCCATGGAAAAGGGTTTATGCCAAAGTATGGGTTTTTTTTCTTTCTTCCTTTGTTGTGGTGCAGTGACCCTAGGGCTTCACACACACACTAGGTAGGCTCTCTATCACTTATGCTACAACCCTAACCCCTGATTGCTGTTGTTGTTGCTGCTGCTGTTTTAGGGGGTTAGGGTCAACTAACTTTACCAAGGCTAGCCTCAGTTTCACAATCTAGCTACCACAGTCTTCCAAGTAGCTGTGGTGAGTGGGATTACACCACCACACTGAGCCATAGCAGAGTATTCTTTAAACTTGCTAGCATTTATAAGAAGGACAGCATCCATCAACAGGAAAATGGGTGTGACACCAATGTGGCCACCAATAGATAATATATAACATAGAAATTAATGAACTAGGGGCACAGGTACAAAAATAGATTGGTATTGTAAGAATATTTTAAATGTGATTACAGATTAAAATGGGTATCATTTGTAAAATGTTTAAAAATACACAAAACTTTTTAGGGCTGACAATTTTTTAGGGCTTACATACTTCTTAGAGACAGCATTTCTATATGCACCCAGACAGGACATAGAATATAAAGTATCATTACCATGCCTCAGATTGAAGACAAGGGCCATTTTTAGAAATAGAAGGAATTACATGTGAGGTGCTAGCCAAGAAGGTATCTACAAAGGTGAGCATGGTAGTACATAGGTATTTCTTTTTTCTTCAACCTTTTAACTGTGTGAATATAAGATTAAAAGTAGAAGGGCAGGGGAGCTGGGATTTGAATCACTGTTAAAATACTTGCCTAGCATGTGTGAGGCCCCTGAGTTTGATCTAGCATACTATAAAGACAGAGAGAGGGCATGGGGGAAGAGCAGCAGAAGGAGAAAATACAGTCTCTCTGAATCTGACACTTTCCTGGCACTCTGTGAGAAGATCAGAATCAATTTTAAACGATGCCAAAGAAAAACCAGATGCTCCCTCTATTGAGGAATCATAATGGCAGAGGAAGAGTGCCCATTCCAACTCAGTTGGGTCCTGCTGACTGTGATGCACCAGCACCCTCTCTGGTGGCATCAGGGAAGAGTGAAGTTCCATCTAACCAATTACAGAAGCTGTGACTGATTGGTTCTTAAATGGCTCACTTGCATTTGGGAGAAGTGACTATGAATCAAGTCAGTGCTGTTGAGTGTAATTTACAGTTATTTTATTCAGGTAATTATTCTAAGTGCATTTAATAAAGAAATTATTTTATATCATATACCTATGAATGGTCAGAAAAATATTTATCTCTGATAGTTCAACCATGTTTGCTATTTTGATGGACAGGGATGTCCCAGATGAAAGCCCTTGACATTTGCGCTACTCATTTCAGAATTATTCTGATACATTGATATCTGTTGAGTTATGCACTTGACAATCTGTGAAAACATGTTTTTGCATCCCTCATGGACTCCTCACATAGCCAGACTTAATTTCAATTTGCAAGTCCAATTTTCAAGTATTATGGTTTGTGAGGATAAAAATACCAATCTATGATAGAACAGATCTCTAAAAATAAAGTTGTTATTCATACATAATGGAAAAAATTTAAAACAATTATCTCAAACAATCATGTCTTTCTGTATTCTTAAAAAAAGCAGAAAAAATCATTCTAATAACATATTTTATAATGAGTATTCTACATTTGGGGCATTTCTGATATTATAAAGTTAGCTTCTAATAGTAGACTGGTAAAGATCCAGGATAATTCATTGGTGAGAGAAGGCACAAGGCATTACTGAAATAATCAACAGAACAAACAGATTTGCTAAGATTAAAGGATAAGCATATAGCAGCTTGTTATATGAAGGGTCCAAGAGTCTGCACCATCATAGTTGGAGGTTTTTTTGGTTTTCTTTTATGGTACCAGTACTGGGGCTTGTATTCATAATTTTTTACTCAAAGCTAGCACTCTGCCAGCTATTGCAATAGTTCTACTCCTGGCTTTTTGATGGTTAATTGGAAATAAAAATCTCACTGACTTTTCTGCATAGGCTGGCTTTGAACCATGATCATCAGATATCAGCTGCCTGAGTAGCTAGAATTATAGGGGTGAGCTACTAGCAACTATCTATGACAATAAGGTTAATGATGCACATTTATTTAGGTTTTGCCATGTGCCAGACACTGACCCAAGCTCTTTCCATCAGTAGCTCATTCCATCCTCATAACCCCTACACAGATGAGGAACTGTGATACCAAACCCAAGATCAGAATAGGAACAAGAGCAAATGCCAGAGCTCTCTTTTGCCCAAATCTCATAGCTACCATTTCTCAATAAATTGAAAATTCTGTGGTGAATGATACTGTAAACAAAAATGAATTTTTTAAACTCCATAGAATGTATGTTTCTTCAAGTTCTCCTAACCATTTTTTTCTGAGCTTTTCTTTCTGAATACAAAGTGGTTTCTGGACTTCAGCAATAACCAAATAACACTTTTTACCCCAGATCATTATATTGGTTGGCAGACCTATTGTAACCTTGTGCCACCTACAGTGAATTGAAGTATTTTTCTAATTGATTTCTCACTGCTTACTGAGAAACAGAGCACCCCTTTCGCCGATCTCATAAATAATTCCATTTCTCTATGTCAACATTAATTGCACTTACCTCATGTTGTCAATCTCTCTCTCTCTCTTCTTTTGCAGGTGATGTCATTGTCTATATTAATGAAGTGTGTGTCCTTGGACACACTCACGCAGATGTTGTCAAACTTTTCCAGTCTGTGCCTATTGGTCAGAGTGTCAACCTGGTCTTGTGTCGTGGCTATCCTTTGCCCTTTGACCCTGAAGATCCTGCTAACAGCATGGTGCCACCCCTTGCAATAATGGAAAGGCCACCTCCAGTGATGGTCAACGGAAGACATAACTATGAAACGTATTTGGAATACATCTCTCGGACCTCACAGTCGGTTCCAGATATTACAGATCGGCCACCTCATTCTTTGCACTCCATGCCAGCTGATAGTCAGCTAGATGGCACGTATCCACCACCCGTCCACGACGACAATGTGTCTATGGCTTCATCTGGAGCCACCCAAGCTGAACTTATGACCTTAACCATTGTGAAAGGTGCCCAGGGTTTTGGCTTCACCATTGCTGACAGTCCCACGGGACAGCGGGTGAAACAGATACTTGATATCCAGGGATGCCCTGGCCTGTGTGAAGGGGACCTTATTGTGGAGATCAACCAGCAGAATGTACAGAACCTGAGCCATACAGAGGTAGTGGATATACTGAAGGACTGCCCCATCGGAAGTGAGACTTCTTTGATTATCCATCGAGGAGGTAAGACCAATGCTGGCTCAGCAATTTCCATAGGAGGGCCATTTGTAATATTCAAGTAGAGGTTTCTGTAGGCCAGAATAAAACCATGTTTGTTTGTTTGTTTGTTTAAAGGAGAGGTAGATGAAAGTAAAACAAGAAATTAGGACATTGTTTGGCTGAATTTTGGGGAGCTGTCTTTTCCTAATTTACATCAAGTACCATGGTTATAGTGCTTGAAGTCTTAGCAACATAGTAATTTGAACATAGTAATTTGAATCCCCAACTGTATTCTGTTGCAAAATGTGTTTTTGTGAGTCAGGTATACCATTGATTTAAATGAGACATCTACTTTTCCAATGGAGGCAATACTTTGAATTGTGGGTAGGAATCCAAGGCAGCTGTTGGAAGCTGGTTCAACTCCAAGCCCAGGTGTGGTCCTGATGATGCCCATGAGGAGCTGTGTTACTGTAAAAAGTCTCTTCTCAGCATTTGGAATAGGGTTGTTCCTACCCACTACCGTGAGTTATGCCTCCTGCCTGGGGAAAACAAAAAGCTACAGAGCAGAGTTGGGATGAAATTCTGTGCTGTTGGAATATGAAAATAAGCGATGGAGAACACGGTAGAAGCTCTGATTCCTAGATGGTTCTTCCCTCTACCTTCTTTGGGACACAGCAATGGAGCAAGGCAGAGGGTCCCTCTTCCTCTATCTGCTACTGAGCCACAGAAAGAGACGATATTCCCCACTTACCTGTCAAATGAAGTCCATGAGCTTCAGCTGTGTGGTCTGTGCCATTGGATATCGACAGCCCATGCTGGAGGATTGTGTTCTTTGTGTTGAATGACCCACAGGAGACGTGGGACTGGAAGCAGGCTGTCTGCTGATCTAAGCTAATCCTAAAGCTTTTGCAGAGGTGAATCTGAAGAGCAGAACTGTGAGGAACTCATGCATGAAGAACACACGTGCTGCAAACATATGTAGTTACCTACTCCAGAGCAGCCTGCAAACCCTTGCTGTGCCCAGTGCAAGTGAAAGAAGTGAAAGCTGAGAGAATCACCATTTGTGATATATGGGGTCCTCTCTGGAGGGGTTTTTCCCTTCCAGGATGGGTTACATAGGCTATTGATTCACCAAAGATAATGCATTATAGGAAGTGTCCTGTGTCTATATTAAGAAGAGAAATAAATATGCTAAAAATAATCATCTCAGATTGACCTTTTAAAACCAACCACTTACAAAATAGCTGTGAACTTTGAAAATTAAATTTTGATAGTGCGTTTTTTCTGTTTTTAAAATTAAAACAAATATTCCAGATTAATATCCACCTATAACAATGTCCCCCCCAAATCAAATTTTTGGAGCAGGTGCTTGGTATCAAATGGCCCAAATGAAAATCACTGTGCAATGTCAGCTCTGTGGTTCACAGAAACAAATTTGGACACGTAGGAAATAGCTGCTTTTAAAAGCATAGCGTACCAGGAAAATGCTTTGAGAGCCTTTGTACCGTTGCAATTTGAGCCTTCCAGAAAACATTTCCTGTATGCCTACATGCACTGTCCTCCCTTTTCCTTTCCCCCTTGCTCTCGCTCTCCCATCTAACCATCAGGTAACCCATGTTTTCTTTGTATTTTGTATTTGCAGGCAAGTGACTTACTTTTCAATTTTGGCTGGTGTAGAAATGAAGAATGTATTGCTTTGTGTTGTTTAAAGTCCTTCTAGAAAAAAAACTCTCTTGAGTTTCCCCAGATTCCTGCATTTTTTTCCTCATCTCTCTGAAATTAATAAGAAATAGTGCCATGTTTGTGATGAAAGTTTCTTTAGTTATCATATTATAGGTTATGCACTACTGCTTATGACTTCATAGACCTTCAAGAGCAAAATCATGGGTCTAGGTCTTTATATCAGATACATGGTTGGGTGTTTGTTTTAAATTGTTTACTTTTACAATGTAACACTTACATGGTTTCACTTTTTAAGCAATAATCGAAAAATGTGCAATGAAAAATAATTATGTGTCCTATCCCAGAAACAGAGATTTGTATATAGGCTTCCAGGAAGTATATACTCTCCTATGCATATGAAAGTTTATGTAACATATTTAATATAGATAGGATAATATTGTGCATGTATAACTGGCTTTCGATTTTCCTCATTATAAGTAGGTACTGGGCTTTTCTAAGTTAAATGTTTATGATCTCTAAGTAGTTGTATAAAAGAGCTTCTATTCAACAGAGCAGTTTATGAACACAGTGCATCTTGATCAATATCACCCCTCTCCTCCTTCTTCCTTTCCCCCAAGCTCTAACTCTTCCCTCAAGTTTCTTAATTTTGCAAGATATATATTAAAATGTATGACTGCATTTTCCCTCCTTCCTCTCTTCCTTTTTCTTCCCCTCTCCTCTTTATTCCACTCTATCATTTGAGTACTGTTTCCTGGTACTTATTTTATTAATCCGTTGAGTTAACCTCTCTAAGGAATTATATTATTTGAGTTCTCCCCTGAACCATATTTCAATTAATGCGTTGCGAATACCACCTTGAAGTATTTACTTATGACTTTATAAATTAATGACAGTTTCCATCTATGAGAGAAAACATTCATCTTTTGTCTCTTCCAATTTGATTTATTTCACTTAACATAATTTTTTTGAAAATGATGTAATATCCTTTCAAATGGATGAGTAAAATTCCATTGTGTGTGTGTGTGTGTGTGTGTGTGTGTGTGTGTGTGTGTGTGTGTGTGTGTTACATTTTCTTGGCCCATTTGTCCATTGAGAGGCATGTGGGCTGATTCACAGTAGTGAATAGTGATACAATGAACAAGGTTGCTCCAGGTGGCTTCACTGTATCCAACGTCATAATGTTTTGGTAAATGCCTAAGAGTGGTATTGCTGGATCATAAAGTAGTTCTAAGTTTAGTTTAGTTTGTTTCTTTTTTTTTTACCATTTTTTAAATTTCATATTATTGTTAAGATGATATACAGAGGGGTTACAATTACATATGTAAGGTAGTGAGTATGTTTCTTTTTCAATGTATATAATATAAATTATATAGAGGGGTTACATTACATGAGTAAGGTAATGAGTACATTTCATATCAAGTATTGTTACCCCCCCCTTAGTTTTTCCCCTAATATCCCTTCCTTCCCCACCTCCCAACTCCTCTCTCTACCCGCTCCCCCAAAGTTGTAAAGTTCATTTTCAACATACTGTCTTGTACATTTCATTGCTGCAATGGGTCAACCTATATCCTTATTTCAGCTTTTTGTTATTTCCCTTCCCCTCCCTAAATTAGAAAAACGTATATACAAGATGCAGGGCACCAGAATCAAATACAGTGAACGCAGGGTTATACCATGGGGGAAGAACATACAAAAGAAACAAAAAAATCACATAGTACAACAGCAATAAAGATAAACCCTCTTGTGTCCTTATCTTGGGGTTCATTTCACTGCATCATTTTATATGATCATATGTACATAGCTTTTGACCTTTTCTGCTTGCCCTAGACATATACTGGTTAATGCAAATAAGGGAAACTATGGGACCTATGTTTCTTTGGGCCTGGCTTATGTCACTTAATATGATTTTTTCCAAGTCTTTCTATTTCCTAACAAATGGGGCAATGTCATTCTTTCTGATGGAAGCATAGAATTCCAGTGTGTGTGTGTGTGTGTGTGTGTGTGTGTGTGTGTGTGTGTGTGTTTGTGTGTGTGTATCTCACATTTTCGTGATGCATTCATCTACTGAGGGACATCTAGGTTGGTTGCATATCTTAGCGATAAGAATAAAATGCTGTAATAAACATAGTTGTGCTGGTAGTTTTAGTATAGCCTTGTTTGTAATCATTTGGGTAAGTGCCCAGAAGTGGGATTGCTGGGTCATAGGGGAGCTCTGTGTGAAGTCTTTTGAGGAACCTCCATTCTACTTTCCAAAGTGGTTGAACAAGTTTACATTTTTGGCTATATCCCCTCTAGCATCTGTTCTTATTAGATTTCTTGATTATAGCCATTCTAACTGGGGCTAGGTGAAATCTCAATGTTGTTTTGATTTGCATTTCTTTTATGGCCAGAGAAGTTAAGTACTTCTTTATATGTCTATTGGCCATTCTTATTTCCTCTTCAGAGAAGTCTTTCTTTAAGTCTTCAGCCCACTTGTTGATGGGGTGGTTGTTTCTTTGAGAATTTGGTGTTGGAGAATTTAATTTTTTGAGTTCTAAGGATATTTTAGATATGAGACCCTTGTCTGTTATATGGGTGAGGGAAGATCTCCCAATCCATGGGCTTTCTATTAATCTTGCTAGCTATGTCCTTTACCATGCAGAAGCTCTGCAGTTTCATGCAATCCCATTTGTCCAACCTTTCTTTGATTTGTTGTGTTTCTGGGTCTTTATTAAGAAATTTCAGCCTCTGCCAAGGAGCCCCAGAATTTCTCCTATTCCTTCCTGTAATGTTTTCATGGTATCTGCTTTTACTTTGAGGTGTTTAATCATTTGGAGTTGATTCTGGTGCAGGGTGATATATAAGGACCTAGTTTTTGTTTTCTACAGGCGTTTAAACAATTTTGCCAGAACCATTTACTGAAGAGACCATCTTTCTTCCATTCTATTTTTTTTAGCTCCCTTATCGAAGATTAGATGTCTATCGGTCTGTGGGTTCATTTCTGGACTTTAAGTTCTATTCCATTGGTCCTAAGATGTGTGCTTGCACCATTACCAAGCTGTTTTGATTATTATGGCTTTGTAGTACAGTTTGAAATTTGGTATTGATATTCCTCCAGCATAGTTCTTTCTGCTGAGGATTGTTTTTGCTGGTCGTGCTCTTTCATTGTTCCATATGAATTTTTGGGTTGCTTCTTCTATTTCATTGAAGAATGAGGTTGGGATATTGATGGGTATTATATTGAATTTATAGATAGCCTTTGCAGTATTGCCATTTTCACGATGTTAATCCTCCCAATCCAGGAGCATGGGAGGTTTTTTTTCACTTCCTTAGTTCTGCTTTAATTTCCTTTTCCAGGTTTT